TAATAATAAAATGCGGTATATTTATATCATGGAGTACTACTCAGCCACAAAAAAGAACTAATTAATTCCTTTTGCAACAATTTGGATAGAACTAGAGACCATTATCCTAAGTAAAGTATCTAAACAATGGAAAAACAAACATGATACGTAGATGCTATTAAATTGGAACTAACCAATGACCACATATGGGTATAGAAAGAAGTAAAACTCAGAGGAAATCAAGTAGGGGGAAGGGGGAGAAAGGGATGGTGAAAACCTACCTAATGGGTACAATGAACATTATTTGGGTGATGGGCACACTTATAGCTATGACTCAAGAATTACAAAAGCGATCCATGTAACCAAAAACATTTGTACCCCCTTAATATTTGAAATAAAAAAATGGAAGAAAAAGAAACTGTACTGTAACAGTAATTAGGTTCCTAGGCCAGTGCACAGAGCACATTTAACATATGTGGTGCTGAAAAGTAGTACATTTTGCCATAATAAACAATACAAAAGTAATGTGATGCTAGCAATAAGACAAAAGTAATGTGATGCTAGCAATAAGACAAAACAGGAAAGTAGGATATATAGGTTATCCCTTCCTCCAAGTGGTTTGGTAGCTATCGGTGGGTTGCATTCCCCTGACACAATGCCTCTCCACCAAACACCTAGTCTCCAAGGAGACAATGTCATCACTTTTAGTCTTCACACATACTCTGTTCCTCTCATTAGTGTCAACCAAAAAAAGAGAGAGGGTGGTATTTCACTTAATTCTTTTCCCTGGATAACTTCTCTGCCACAAAAAGTGAAAAGAAATAGGAGAATTAGGAATACATGCTGTAAAGAAAAAGATTAGGGTTTAGGGTAGCAACTCTGTCTTTTAGTAGAGAATAATTTCAATCTTGAAGGCAAAAGACTATGGTTCAGAGATACCATTTATTAACTTTGTGACTTTGAAGTAGTTTCTTTACATCCTTAAGTCTCTTTTACTTTATCTGTAAAATAGGGGTGATAGTACTATGATGTCTCTCTGTCCAGCATCCCTTCCCCTTTCTGTTTAGGGGATTACCTCCAGCTCCATTATCTATTCTATGTGGCTTTGGTAGAGTTGCCTGACAAAGTGGTGGGGGGCATGTAATCCAGGCCCAGCCAACTACGAATACCTTATCCCCTCTGACCACATAATTAGTCCAAAAATGAGCCATGACACAAGCAAAACAAATTAAAGTCCTGTTGAAACATGGAGGAGAGGAGCTGCTCAGCTGGACTAAAGTAAGCCTGGAGCTGCCTGTGTAGTGCTTTCTAGTCTGTGGAGAACACCTATCTGCAAAAGGTGAGAGACTACGGAAATGAGAGAAAGAGTCCCAATAACAACATCTGCAAAGCCAGCCCCACCTCTATCCTTCACAATATCCTTTTTGCTTGAGTTAGCATGAGTTGTGTGTCTGCCCCCTGGCAATGAGAAAGAGCTCTATTTAATAGCCATTCAAAGAGCTGTGGCAAAGTTTAACAGTAATGTAAATAAAGTGCCTGGCAATTGCAAGTAGTCAATAACTGGGTTATTGTTGAAGTTGTTACTCCAGTAATGCAAAAATATCACCCAAGAGTGAAAGGAAAGCACTGATACAGATGGAAAGTATCCTTGGTTTTAGTAAACCAAAAAAGGCAGGTAGGCCTAAAATAGCATTCCTGGCTGAAAGTAGCAGTTTGGGGAGAAAATAAACACTCAGGCAAGAAGAGAAGCGAGAAGGCACATAGTCAGTATCAGACTTCAAATGAATTCACAGTGAATGAACTAAGGAATTTTATTTCTTGTACTAAAATTCATAGTAGGGTATAACTGACCTCCCAAAGGGTATTTGACTTTTCATGAGAATAGTGTCTCAATGTTTAAAGAGATCCCAAAATGCATAATTATGATTTTTAAACCCCTAAAGCCAATTGTCAAGTTTTAAGATCTCAGATGATCCAATTTAATTTTCATGACTAATCATTATTACTTTAGTCATTTTTTTAAGTAGTGACATAAGTTTATTCATTAAAAATTTATTATAGTTTAGGGAAAGTATTCTTCAACTGATAAAACAGATGAATTCCTTAAAATGTTATACAGATAGATTGTATCTATATCTCGCTATGGAAATCACAAAACCAAATACCCCCACACTCCATCCCACCCTGCCCAGTCCACAAGTTGAAACCTTCTGGAGAAAATGAAGACAAATCCATGGCATTCTAAACATTGCCATACTCTCAAAACAACCAACTTTCATTTAGCAGCTACTATGACATGTGCAAGGCATTGTGCTAGCACAAGCCATGCTCCACAGAATATGCTCCATCAGCTAAACTGAGTATCCAGACACTACAATCAGATGAAATTCATCATTTTCCCAATACACAGGGGGAGAAAATTAAAAAGATTTTCTCATTTTTAAATGTGATTCCTCTAATTTTTCCCCCCTCAAACTCTGGGCTTCCTCAGCCTATTCAACTAGAATCTAATGTGAGGTACCATCTGATTTGGCACATAATTATACATGTAGTTATTTTGGTAGTGTTCTGCAAAGAAAGGGCACTTTAATTTCTATACAAACTTGAAAACCACAATGCTAAGAAATGAGAAATCAAAACTAGTATAAGCCAGGGCAGATCAATTTCCTCAGTGAGTTATAGCCCAGTTATAGAGAGAGGATAGAGAAATAAAAATTAAATTAAAAATTTTAATAAATTACAAAAAAGGCAGTCAAGAAAGTTCTACAGGCACTCTATGAAGGGATTGAGATCATTAGAGAAATGGAATAGTAACAAGGAAGAAGGTGATTCAAAAGAAGTAGGCTATCAGCTGGGCTTTGAAGGAAAGAGAAGCATTTAACATGGCTAGGAGAAAGGCAGCATGGTGGCAATTCCAGGCTGTGTTATCACATTGCTACTGCAGATCTCGCAAACTCATGATGGTTAGTAAAAGAGTTGTGATGTGACAATTTTAAGTCTGTTAACACTCATAAATTCCCAGTTTTATATATTTCAGTCTAAGCTCATTGCCATATACTGTAAAAACCTCAATAAACTAAAACCAACTAACAAGACCTCTTATCAATGATAGAAAATATATGAAATCCAGGTTCTTGTCAGGAACTAGAACTAAAAATTCTATTTTTCAATCCTTTTTAAAAGCTTGGCTACAAAAATAACATGCATAGAGGTTTTTCTATGCATAGGTTTAAAAGCTATGTCATCTATTTATTCCTTTAGACATATCTGGATTGTGTTCTTGGATCAGGCCAGATTAGACCCCTGCTGATTTATCCTACTCCTAAACTCTCTCATAAAATTGCTTTTTGCACCAATCCCATCAATTATCCACTCTTTGCTTTGGCTACAAGGAAACTCAGGGTAATATCTGTAACCTTTTTCTAAAAAATGAATGAACTATGCAGTTGCACCTCCAGAAGGAAATTTTACTTCAGTTTATTATTTCTCCCATCTCTATTTTCCTTTAACTGATTTCCTCACTTGTCCTCTTGAATTATTTTTGGAAATTGCTCAAATCCTTTGGGTGGAATAAGATGGGGTATAAATAAATATAAAACCTAGAATTCACAATTAAACAGAAGTGGATGGATTAAAATTTTATTACATTTTATTTTACTTTTAAGAAAATAAGCCAAAGGAACAAAACACATTTGAAAAAAGTTAGGTTTTGGAGGGTTTTAGTCCAAGATATCTACCAGAATATATATTCAAGTTTATTTCCTATAACTTTGACATCTCTGTACACCACTATACAATAATAACTGAAACTCAGAATAATGACCCAGAGCACTAAAAGAGCCTATTAAGGAAAATATTTAAATGTTTCAAGTTTTTTCTCCTAAAAATAGAAGCAGGCTAAGTCATCATTTTAGATATACTTGAACCACCACCATCACCACAACATTTTCTAGTTAAGCCCTCAGAAAAACCAAATAAATATAACATCTCATTATCTTACCATTATCCAGGTAATCCAGGAAGTTGTGGACATTCTCTGAAGTTCTATTCTAGGCCTCTATCTAAACTCCATGGGCATTTCTACCCTCACAATTTGAGTTACATGTATGTGAATGATTCCAAAATATCCCATCTCCACTGGCCTGCCCTGTCAAACCTCAATTAAAGTAATCAAAATGGAGCTTCATCATGTTTTCTTTCTTTCTCACCCCTCATAAACAATCCCTTCAAAAGACTTCATTTCTGACAATGACACCATCATTCTGTCCAATTCTAAAGCTTCAGTCATCTTTGCCCCTTTCTTCTCTTCATCTCTAGTATTCCATCTTATCAGGCTTGATCACTTCCCTTTAAGTGTCTGTTTGGCATTTCTCTATTTTTGAATATTACTGATTTTTTTTTTTAGAGACAGGCTCTCACTCTGTCACCCAGGTGGAGTACAGTGGCTCAATTATAGCTTATTATAACCTTGAACTCCAAGGCTCAAGGGATCTACCTGCCTCAGCCTCCCCTAGGACTACAGGTATACACCACCATGCCCAGCTAATTTTTTGATATTTTTTGCCCAGGCTGGTCTCAAACTCCTGGCCTCAAGTGATCTTCCTACCTCAGCCTCCCAAAGTGCTTGGTTTACAGGCATGAGCTACCATGTCTGGTGGTATTTTCTTTTTCATTTACACTTTTACTTTCCTACTTCGGGGTGTAATAAGTTGACCTCTCTGCCTTGTCTCTCTCCTTTCAAACTTTCCATTTCACTCTGTGTTCCACTGTCTCAGAACTGTTTTTTAACAAGTCACTTCCCTCAAACCTGCAACAGAGCTTCCTATAACCTATTACATCAAAGTGACATCCCTCAATCTGAACCTTAGGGCAATCCAGGATCTGGCGCCACACTGATTATCACACATGTCTCACAACTATTTCTAAACTAGTCAAGCACTAATTTTCATTGTAACCACTAAACGTCATTAAAACAAGCACCACTAGGCAAGCGATTCTAATAAAGCAAATTTAAGTCTTACTTAATGTTATGACGTCCAGTTTTCAGTGTACATCTATCAGGAAGTTGAGCAAGTTTCCTTGAGAGCATTTTAAAATACTTTCTGCACTCCTGCATTCCTGTGTTTTGTTCATAATCAGTAGAAGCAGAAAGTGGCAGTCCATCTCTGACACGAATGACTGAGGCAGATAAAATCATAGACATTTCAACCGACTGAGAAGACCTAAAATAAAATAAACAATTTGGGTTAGATAAAAATTAAAGCCAAACTTGATAAGCCTATGTAAAAATGTTCAACTTACTAGTAATCAAAGAATACTAATTAAAACAATGGTAACCATGCTTCACTTAACAAATTACCTTTAAAAAAATAACACTTGCTTCTGTCTGATATTCTCATAAATACAGGTGAAAGTAAAAATTGGTACAAACACCATTCTCAAAACAATTTCTGGGCCCATCCCCCCAAAATTTTGACCCACTGACTGTTGGGGCTTGGGAATCTTAAATTTTAATTTTAACAAGTTCCCAAGGCGATTATTTTGCTTATTGTCTAAGGACCATACTTTGAAAAACACTGAATTAAAACATGTTCACCATCTGAGATTAAGTGATAACTCTTCTCTGTTCAGCCATCATAGCACAGAGCCACTAAATGTTTCTTTACTAGCAGCAGGGGCAACTGGTGAAAATTCAAACATTTGATATAAATTTAATAAGCTTTTTTCAGAGATATTGTATGTCAGAGAGTAAATTAATCTTTACCTGCCCACTTCAGCTAGGTACCTTCATTTCAAAACTGAAAATTGAGTTAGTAATGTACCCCAAAAAATGCCACAGAAAATCAATTAATAAGGAGTTTTGAAATCAGGAATTAATAGTTTTCTTGCTGTGTGAAGTAAAAATCTGACTGTTAGAGTGGTAACTGATCTGACAATAAAAATTAATCCAAATAATAAAGCTAATGCATTAAGTTTACTATCCCCTTTTCTACTTTTCGTGAGGAATGGGGAGAAATCTCTAGGGAATATTAATAATACACCATTATCCTTTAATATTTTTCTCCTTTATTTATTTAAAGAGAAAAAACCAAAGCATGTTAAATTAGCCTTTTTACCACAGTGGAATCTTCAAACTAAAGTCCCAGTATGACATATATATATCAGTATTTTTTTTCCATTCATCCAAATTCTTTTTCTCACCTAAAAGCAGTAGCAAGAGAAAGGTGAGATCCCTGAAGAGAAGATATCTACACTATAAACCCCTCTTTAAAAATTGTACTATGTTTGGGATGGGCGAGGTGGCTCATGCCTGTAGTCCTAGCACTCTGGGAGGCCGAGGCAGGCGGATTGCTCGAGGTCAGGAGTTTGAAAGCAGCATGAGCAAGAGTAACACCCCAATCTGTACTAAAAATAGAAAGAAATTAATTGGACAACTAAAATATATATAGAGAAAAAAATTAGCCAGGAATGGTGGTACATGCCTATAGTCCCAGCTACTCGAGAGGGTGAGGCAGAGGATTGCTTAAGCCCAGGAGTTTGAGGTTGCTGTGAGCTAGGCTGATGCCATGGCACTCTAGCCTGGGCAACAGAGTGAGACACTGTCTCAAAAAAAAAAAAATTGTACCATGTTTTATTTAATTATCAAACCAAAATTGTAACATTTAGCCTAAGTGTAAGAAAGCAGGAAAATGGCTGGGCATTGTGGCTCACACCTGTAATCCTAGCACTCTGGGAGACAGAGGCACGAAGATTGCTTGAGCTCAGGAGTTCAAGACCAGCCTAAGCAAGAGTGAGATCCTGTCTATACTAAAAATAGAAGAAATTAGCTGGGTATGATAGCACACACCTGTAGTCCCAGTTACTCCAGAGGCTGAGGCAGAAGGAGCACTTGAGCCCAGGCGTTTTAGGTTGCTGTGAGCTAGGCTGACACCACAGCACTCTAGCATAGGCAACAGAGTGAGACTCTGTCTCAAAAAAAAGAAAGTAGGAAAATGTCTTACTTCATATTGTTAATCATTTATTATTTAAATATAATATAAACTGTTATCTTGCTAGACGTGGAAATGCAAAGAAATAACCATTCTGGGAATTAACGTGAGGGTTGATTGTGACTGATAGTTCCAAAAGTTTATATTTTAGTATTTAAAAGTAGATTTCATTCTTTTATGCCTGACCTTTCTAAGAACCTAATAGCAATATTAGGAATAGTCTTTATAATTACATTACCAACTTTCACGTAGGCTTCACACACTTTAGGCTTTAACCAAAAGCAAAACACAGCAATTACATTCTCTGTCAAAACTCTTAAAAAGTTGCCAGAGGATTGTTTCTATCTATCAACAGATAAGATTTTCTGATGAGAAAAAGTGAAATATCTTCCTCCCAGAGTAATTTGATATAGCATCCAAACCAATTGAACTTAAGAAAGCAAAAGAAACTGGAATGAATGTCTGATGATCAATGCCAGCCTTAACTAATTTGTAGATGGATTCCAATCTCCTCAGGACAAGCAGTCTCTCCATCAACTCAATAAACACACCCTCCCCCCTTTTTAAAAATGTTTACCTTGAATTCATAATTTTTTTTTAAACTAATCTTATCTAAACTGTGCTAGTAAAAAAGAAATCTGTTCATATCAAGGCCAAGTTGAGTTAGAGCACCATTGGGGGTCTAAGTAGGGTGTGGTCGGGGAAAAGAAAACCCCCAAGGAAGAACCCATGGAACTGTGGAATGCAAGAGGTTACATAGGACAATTGCACTGGAAGATTAAGGTGCAGTAGTTTTTATCTTATCAGGGCCATATTTTATTTTTAGGCCACTGGTCCATTTTTCCTCACCTTTAACACAGACAAAATATTACACCTGCCTTTAGACAGCAGCAGATACTTCACAGGGAATCTGAGTAGTGGCCTGTTTTTCCTCTCTCCAACAGGAATATTGGAGGGAAAAGCCCAAGTAAGAACCTAGTTAAATATAGGTTAACTTTTATGTAGAGGCTGGGGAAAACAAACTCCCACAATGCCAGACTACTATTGCAGTGGTTAACAACCTCTTAACCCAAGATAACCAGATGCTGACCCCTCTTCTTCAGAACCATGTTGAGTAATGAGTGTGGGCCAAGGTATCAGAAAGGCAATAAAGAAAATCCAAAATATAAGTAGATTTTGTATCTACTTTGTAGCCAAATGCTCTCATAAACGCCTCCTTTAAGATTAAAAACATTTACATTGGAGTCAAGCACTTGCATTTTATTTTAGTTCATCATTGCCCAAACTTCGGTTATCTAAGTACCACTTGAGAATTTTTACCTTATCTTCATCCCACCTCTACTATTATTTACCTAATATCAGTCTTTCAACTGACTTACATTTTGCCCTATATATTTTTAGCAATATCTATGAAATCAATTTTTTTTTTTTGAGACAGAGTCTCGCTCTGTTGCCCAGGCTAGAATGCCGTGTCAGCCTAGCTCACAGCAACCTCAAACTCCGGGGCTCAAGCAATCCTTCTGCCTCAGCCTCCCAAGTAGCTGGGACTACACGCATGCGCCACCATGCCTGGCTAATTTTTTCTATATATATTATTCGGCCAATTAATTTCTTTCTATTTTATAGTAGAGACAGGGTCTCGCTGTTGCTACGCTACAACAAATCGATCTACCAAGTCAACTAACTGCTGCTTGAATGGAAACTTACACAATCTTCAAAAAAGACAACAAAATCAGCACTCACCATGTAATATTCACAATGCTAGTATTCTGATCAAAAATCATACATGGCCAGGGCATTGGTCTCGATTTCTGCTAGCACTCTGGGAGCCGAGTGAGGATCACTGAGGTCAGGAGTTCAAGACCAGCCTGAGCAAGAGTGAACCCCGTCTCTACTAAAAATAGGAAGAATTAGCCAGACAACTAAAAATTATAGAAAAAAATTAGCCAGGCATGGGGCGCATGCCTGTAGTACCAGCCTACTCGGGAGGCTGAGGCAGAAGGATCGCTTGAGCTCAGGAGTTTGAGGTTGCTGTGAGCTAGGCTGATGCCACAGCACTCTAGCCCAGGCGACAGAGCAAAACTGTCTCAAAAAATAATAAAAAAATTAAAATATTATACATATGAAGAAGCAGAGAATATGAACCATCAGCAGGTGAAAAATCAGTCAATAGAAATTCAAAGATAATGAAATTAGACTTTAAAGTAGATAAAGACTTTTTTTTTTTTTTTTGAGACAGAGTCTCATGTTGTTGCCGAGGCTAGAGTGGAGTGCTGTGCATCAGCCTAGCTCACAGCAGCCTCATTCTCCTGGGCTCAAGCAACCCTACTGCCTCAGCCTTGTAGCCTAGGACTACAGGCATGCACCACCATGCCCGGCTAATTTTTTGTATATATATTTTTTAGTTGGTCAATTAATTTCTTTCTATTTTTTAGTAGAGATGGGGTCTCACTGAGGCTGGTTTCAAAATCCTGACTCAAGCAATCTGCCCCCCTCGGCCTCCCACAGTGCTAGGATTACAGGCGTGAGCCACTATGCCAGGCCTAGATAAGGACTTAAAGCAGCTATTGTAAATATGGCCAAGAACTTAAAGTAGTATAAATATAATACAATGTGAGAAGTGGTAACATAAAAAGAACCAAATCAACTTCTAGAGCATAAAAATATAATATTTGAAATGGAAATTTTGCTATATAGGTTTAACAGTAGATTAGACAACTGCTGAAGAAAAAGATCAGCAAATAAACAGTACAAAGAATTATTTATATTAAAGGACAGAGGAAAAAAGTTGAAAAGAAAATGAACAGAGCCTTGGTGACCTATGGGTGAATACAAAGTTATCTAACACTTGTATAATCAGAGTCCCAGAAAGAGAGGAGAGAGATAAGAAAATATTTGAAGTAATAATGGCCAAAGCTTTTCTAAATTATTAAAGACACTGATAAAAATAAAATAAATTTGATGAAAATATAAACACAGAGATTCAAGAAAGTAACAACCTCACACAGGACAAACACAAAGAAAGCTACCCCAAGGCACATTACACTCAAACTGCTAAAAACCAGTAATTAAAAAAAAATACATTAGAACCAATCAGAGAAACACTGAGCCATCTCCTATAGGGAACAAAGATACGAAGTACTACTGACTTCACATTTATATCAGAAAGAATGAAAGTCAGAATATAATGGAATGAAATTTTTAAAGTCCTGAAAGTAAAACACTCTATCAAC